CTACTGAAACACAGATAAGTCCGGAAGATTTGGAAATCTGAAATGGATAAAGAGGAAAATGTTTTTCATGAAATGTCTGACGAAGAGATTATAAAAGAGGTTTCTAATTATACAACAAACAACCAGGAAAATAACGACGACGTGATTGCAACTGCTCCACAAGTCACAGCACAAGACGCAATTAACGCCTTTGAGCTAGGTTTAGAATGGACTGAAGAGAATGGCACATCCTACAATGAACTTTTACTTTTGAGAAGACTGAGGGACAAAGCTCTGATCTCGCGTTGTAACAACCTTAAACAAAAAAAATTGATGAACATTTTCAAGCTTCATAATTTGATAAATTCATTAATGATTTTGATTAATAATTCTTCATTATTTTGGTACATATGTATGTGCATTTATGCTTAATTTTATAACAAAACGTAAGTTCTCTATTGTTATTTAATTTAATAAATTTGACATACATAAACGATGTATGATTTGTACTTCAAAGTACATACATATACATAACATATATAATCTTACCATTGGATATGTAACTTGTCGGATTACAAGGTACTCTTTTGTAAAAAAATCCGGACTATAGGGGGTCTTAGGCAGTGCTCTATAATCCGACAAATTCGATAGTCCGACACTGCCCTGCATAATGTTTGTCGGATTACCGGAGGTCCACTTGTTCCAATTAGAGGACGATATAAAAAATAATGCCACTAATTTCCTGTATCTCCGCCACTGGAGCACGTTAATGTTAACTAAAGACTTTTAAATGTGGACAATACTTAAACTGTATCCATCGAAGAAACAAAGTAAAATCAAACATATACACCCGTATTGCACGTGATCAAGAGCTTAACCGTAGGAGACGCTACAGGGCCGTATCAAGCTATTGTGACTGATCTATCAAAAAATGTCGTACAAGATATGTGTTGCTGTAAATTCTATCAAAAGCATAGTAAATTATCAGGAATATACCACGCCTTTCTAATCATATTTCGACATTAGGAATCAGTGCAAAAAATTCTGTATTCACCATTTCAGCAAAATGTTACTAAAACGCACACGAAAAAAACTTGTGGACCATCTCAATTGAAATTGTTCATATTTTATTATTAACTTACATATATACCCAATAATATTTACAAATCAACCTTCTATTCACAATGCAGAGCAAATTTTTTTGAGCAAATAGAAACTACAGACGTAGTAGTAGTAGTACAAAAGTTTATTACAGACTCCATAAAGTTTGTTAGTTTGATTGCTATTAAAATTTACATGAGAAATAGGAAGAAGGTCAAAATGGCACTATTATGCTTTGGAACTCCTAAATTAACCCTAATTTTGTGTAATTATAAATTTGGAATTTCCACATTAATAACTAGAAACTTACACTTTGATTGCAGTCTATAATGAACTTACCTGTCTTGCCAAAAAGCCCGTTAAACTGCCAGTCTTAATGGTATCAATCGATTTATATGCTGTATTCCGAGGAGCTTGAATCATCAGAATTGTTGATGTCAACTTGAAAAACAGAATTATCCAATTATAAAAGTACCTGAAATTTGACAAGATCTTACTGATACAATCTGTATGTGCAAGCACTCAAGTTCTTATTCAGATGTGTTTCAAGCTCGCTTGTTCAGAGTCTTATTTACAGAGAATAGCTAAACTTACTAGTTTTCAAGCAATCATGAAATAATTAATAGCAATTAAACGAAAACCGTCAGTCTCGGGACCCATTCACACCGACGGGCCATCGGCGATCTACCGCTCTTCTACAGCTATGCCAGTGGGCTTTGCTCCTCAGGGCTCTCCTCCATGATACTGCCAAGTGATGTCTACCACACAGACCCCCCTACTTTGGCATCCCAACCTAATTGTAATCATGTCGAACCTCCAGAACTAACCGACACGACCACTCCTTTAACCCTAGGCTATATTCGTAGAAATTGTGGAACAATCTAGTTTAACCAAACTTGAACAGTTCTAAAATCGGATTAACAAAGTTTCTTTAAGCTCGTCATAACAGACGCGGTGCGCTAGCATTTAGACATCCGCCTCAACGGCTGTTTTGGTGTAAAAGAAAATGATCCAGACTGACTGATTGGAATATTTGTAAATTTTGGACGAAAAGGCCTAAATATCTAATTTCCTAGAATGAGAAAGGTATTTGGCTGAGGAAAAAGGAATATTTCGATTTCAATATTAAAGGCGTGAATGGATATAAGTCAAATTATCGTACATGATGTAACGTCATACAGATTTTAAGGAAGTAAACGTCATCCGTATGTCACCAGTGGACTAATGTTGTCTTCTTTAAATATTTCTAAAGAACTCCTGACCAAGTCCAAGCATGGGCAGCAGCGGTGGCCGCAATGTTAGACTCTTCGGTCTCCTGATCAGTCGCCGTGCTCTGTGCGGGTTCGAATCCCATGGGTGTTTAGGCCTTAGGCCTTCGTGGTGGTTGGAATATAAAAAAACGTAAGAAGTTATCGTTTTGTCTATGCCGTAGGTTACATCCCACTTAACAAGACGATAATATCTTCACAGTAAAGATCGAATTTCAAAGTTTGAAAATAAGTAGATACTGGTGCACTCTGGGCGCCCCCCACCACTTCCACTTTTTGGCCACGCCCACCACATCCACCGCGTGCTCTGATTGGCGGATCAAACGGCGGGAAATTTGAACGGGGTTGATGGTATATGTTGATTGGCGGGAACCGCTAGATCCACCGCGTGCTCTGATTGGCGGATCAAACGGCGGGAAATTTGAACGGGGTTGATGGTATATGTTGATTGGCGGGAACCGCTAGATCCACCGCGTGCTCTGATTGGTGGATCAGACGGCGGGAAGTTTGAACGGGTTGATGGTATATGTTGATTGGCGGGCCCCGTTAGATAGCGCACCCGACCGGAAGTGATTCAGACAGCCGACGATAGTAAGGTGTAGTATAACGTCTATGCGTAAGCGATGTGACTCATTTCATGTTTTGCGGTAAATATTTGCATATAGATCGATAAAAGCCCATGAATAATGATATTTATAGATGCAATTCTGCTGATTCAGTTTAAATGGAAAAACGTATAAAATTCGCGGGAAACAATGCGTATAGGATGATCTCAATAATCAACACGTCATATTCAGTGTGCATATAAAAATGGAATTGCTCATATATGTGGTGCATACAGTTAATGTTAGTTAATTTTTAACATTGATACAATATTGAAAACCTACGTCGCAAATGAGGTTAGGTTCAGGGCAGGTGTTGTCGTAGCGGTGATATGCAAGAAGTACCGGGCGGGGCTGTTAAGCATGGGTGAATGGGCAGGAAGCGCAGGCTGTCAACGAGTTAATACTGACCAACGATAACAGCGGTGACCTTGAAACACTGTGGTCAGTTAAAAAGTGGTGGGGGTAAAATCGAGATTATAAATACCTATGAATCACCGCAAATTATCTTGTCAGTTATCTGCAGCGAACAGACGTGCTCAGTTCAGATTTAGTCGCTAGTTAACGTTTTAGTTTTTAAAAAATGGAAAAATTCTTCATCGTTAAGGATTCTACTAAGAAGATTAAAAAATTTAATCTATATGGGCGAGAAGTGGAATTTAAAATACGACCTATCCCTAAAGACGTCGAACCTGTGGGATGGATCAAAGACGCTCTGGAGGAAATAGTAGCCAAAGGAACTGAACATCTCCAGCCCAGTGATCAAGTTGGATTCACTTTCTGTTCCAAAGACTTTACCCGCGGTCAAGGATGGATAGCTTTTAAAATGTTTTCCGACGTTTCAACTGAGGACATATGGGAGAAGATATCTTCCATCTATCAGTCAAATTCTGTGGGGTTGAATACCGAGACTTTTTGCTTGGGTATTACGTCCGTAAGGTTGCCTGCTGGTCGTGGTAGAGCTCAGAATTTCAATACCTTTGATGAGGAATGCGCCAAAAGAAAAGGCATTATCACCGTTAAAAACACCGATAATTTGTGTCTCCCACGAGCCCTTGTCATCGCCATGGCCCATTTGAACAAAGACAAAGATTATAGCAGAATCCGCCGTGATCGAGGAAAAATACAAGGACAAAGAGCTGTACAACTTGTGGAAAAGGCTGATATTGTTATCCCTGAGGAGGGGTGTGGAATACCTGAACTTCAAAAGCTACAACGATATCTGCAAAACTACAAAATTGTTGTATACAAGTTTGGGTGCAAAGGTCGTGACGTCATTTTTGAAGGCGTGTCCGCTGGTCCGACGCTTAACCTAATATATCACGAGGGGCACTACAGCGTCATAACATCCCTCACTGCTGCCTTTTGCTGCAGCTTTTTTTGTGAGAACTGCCACATTCCGTATAATACTAAACAAATTCATAGATGTGATAAACAATGTTATGCTTGTAAAAGATCTCCGGCCTGCCTGAAAACGAAGCACATCAAATGCAAAGAATGTAATAGAAGCTTTTATGGACAAGAATGTTTTAACGCTCATTTACCATCGGTCTGTTCTAAAATTAAAAGATGTGTAGACTGTTTTAAAGTTCACAACGGTAATGATCACATCTGCGGATATATACTTTGTAAAACATGTTATAAAAATCAACCAATTGAACATATGTGCTATATACAGCCTGACAGAAGTATTCCTAAATCAAATGATGTCTTATTAATATTTTACGATTTGGAAACCCGTCAGGAGAAGGAATTACCCAATGGATCTTTACTGCATGAGCCAAATCTATGTGTATTCAAACAATGTTGTGAATCATGTACCGATAATCCTATATGCAAGAAATGTGGCCTTCGAATACAGATTCTTCGATGTCAAGACGTCATTTCTCCATTTATGCATCATATTCTGACACTTCGTAAAAAATTCAAGAAAGTCATTGTACTGGCGCATAATGGTGGAGGATTTGATCATCAGTTTCTACTTCGTTACATTTTAGAGAAGACTAGTCTGTACCCGAATGTAATTATGAGAGGAACAAAATTAATATTGATGGAGGTAGGAAATGTAAAATTTCTGGATTCTCTCAATTATTTTCCTATGCCTCTAACTGCTCTACCCAAGGCGTTTGATTTGAAAGAGCTAAAGAAAGGATACTTTCCACATTTATTCAACACTTTGGCTCATCAGAATTATGTAGGGCCAATTCCAGCGCTCGACTTCTACGATCCCGACCATTTAAAGGAAGACGCTCGGGAAAAATTATTAAAATGGCATGGCGAAAGACAAGCGGAGGGATACGTTTTTGATTTTCAGAAAGAAATCGTTGAATACTGTATCTCCGATGTGGAAATATTGACACAGGCGTGTCTCAAATTTCGAGACCTGATGAAAACCGAAACCACAGTCGATCCCTTCCAGGAAAGCACCACTATTGCATCATGCTGTAACAAAGTCTTTAGACGCAATTTTTTAAAACCTGAGACGATCGGGGTAATTCCAAAAGGGGGCTATAGATGGCGTGAAAATCAGTCAAAAATTGCCATCCAATGGCTGTTGTGGGAGGAACATCAAAGAGGAATCAAAATTCAACACGCCGCTAAGGGTATAGAAACCATTGTTAAGGGACATAAAGTAGACGGTTTTTGTAGCGACACAAATCAAGTGTTTGAATTCCAAGGATGCTATTTTCACGGTTGCCCTCGATGTTTCAAATACAACAGAAGCAATCCTCTGCATAATGATCCGTTGAATACATTGGAAAGTCGATACGAACAATCAGTTAGCAAAGTAGAGAGACTCCGAAGCCTTGGACTAGAAGTAATTGAGATATGGGAATGTCAATTTCGAGGAATGCTAAACGATGAAATTAGAGCCTTCACAGAAGCACATCCATTGATAATCAATTTACCGATTAACCCCAGAGACGCTCTCTACGGGGGACGTACAGAAAATATCGTTGAATACTACAAGATCAAAACAAATGAATGCATAAAATATGTCGATATATGTTCCCTGTACCCCTTCATCTGTAAATATGGAAAATTTCCGGTGGGTCATCCAAAAAAAATTTACGTAGGTGAAGAATGTGTTACAGCCTCTCTGTCGCAGATGTCAGGACTTATTAAATGCCAGATTCTACCGAACCAGAACTTATATCACCCCGTTTTACCGTCAAAAATGAACAACAAATTGATGTTTGTTAACTGTCAAAAATGTGGTGAAGATTTCGTTCGAGAAGAGTGTCAGCATTCTATTCAAGAAAGAAGCCTAAAAGGAACTTGGGTGATAGAAGAGGTGCTCAAAGCTATTGAAAAAGGTTACCAGATTATAGAGACTTACGAAATATGGGAATACGATACAATTCAGCTCAGTAAAGACCAAGAGGGGTTATTTAGCGGAATGATGAACAAGTTTCTACAAATAAAACAACAAGCTTCAGGATGGCCCAAACATTGCTTAACGGATGAAGAAAAAAACCGTTATATTGATGCATTTTTGGATAGAGAAGACATAAAGCTGGAATTTTCAAAAATTATAGAGAACCCCTGTTTGAGATCGTTAGCTAAACTTATGCTGAATTCCTTTTGGGGTAAATTTGCTCAAAAAGAAAACCAAAACAAAACCTCAATAGTCAGAGACTGTGGTGAATTCTTTGATATGCTGACTAATCCTTCTATTCATGTAAATACAGTTCTCCCGGTAAACGAAGAAACCCTTCTCATAACTTGGGAATTTAGAGAAGAGGCCTATGACGTTTCTTCAACGGTTAACGTTGTATTGGCTTCATATGTCACGGCCCTAGCTAGACTAAAATTATATTCATTCTTGGAGAAAGTGGAAGAAAGGGCAGTTTACGTAGATACAGATTCATGTATTTATATCTCTCGTAAGGGATTAGACGACATATCTACAGGCGACTTCATAGGTGATATGACCGATGAGCTCAATGGGGGTTTCATATCAGAGTTTGTTTCTGGAGGACCTAAGAACTACGCCTACAAATATACTACTTTGTCTGGAGAGGAACAGATCGTATGTAAAGTAAAAGGCATATCACTCAACTACAAGGCATCCCAAGTAGTCAATTTTGAGAAAATAAAAGACATGGTGCTGAAGAAATCTGATCCTGTTTCTGTACTTTCTCGACAGCTACGACGTACAAGAGAGCATGCAGTAGTAACAGTCGAGTTTCCTAAGGTATACAAGATAACTTCAATGAAAAGGAAATTCTATGAAGATCATACCTCTGTACCATTTGGATTTAAGAAAATAAAGTATTGATTTATTAATGTATGTAAATATTTTTTAATAAACATGTAAAATAAAATGTATGCAAATGATTTTTTGTTTTTTATTTCCCGCCTAATTGAAAAATATTTTTGCACCCGAAATTGTTCAGCCTTTTTACTCCATATAAAATATTTAAAAGTATGCATTGTTATTATTAAACGCCTGCAGTAATATACACCAAAAAAAATTGAGAAGCAGTGTAACCATGTGGAACTTTGTATAATCACAAAAAAACATATCTTGGAAAATAAAAAATACAGCAGATTCATAAGCAGTGTAGAGAGGAAACTACGTAAAAGTAATCGATTATTACTAATAAAATAGAGTTTTGAATTCCTATTTTTACAATAATAATCATTTTACTATCTTACGTGTTGGGCACTGCACTGCACGGGTACCAACACTGTACTGCACGGGCACGAAAAATTGAGAAGCATGATAACCATGTAGAACTTCGTATCACTACGTAAATGGTTATTACGAAAAGTAGAAATAAAAACTATATTTTCGATAATAGCTATACTATTTTTTATGAGCACCGAAAAAATTGAGAAGCACAATAACCTCATAGAACTTCGAAACAGCACCAGAGACAACCGAAGGCTACAGAAAAAAACACATACTGAAAAGGCATAACATCTATCAGCGCTGGTATCCGATAATACTGTTTCCTTTGACATTCGTTGGGATATGAAAACACATATTTGCTTCCCACCGTTATAACGGAAATAATAGTTACTGCAAAAGCAGTTTCACGATAAGACCATACATTAATCTACAAAGTTGATAATAAAACATATGTACTATTAAAATGCAGATATTTTTAAAATTATACAATTAAAAAATCAAAATAATATATTATAAATGGTAGGGGATACAGGGTAAACACCGAAATATACTTAATTTAGAATAGTTACTTATAATCTCCTCAGTTCTTTGGTCAGCCGTATCGACAATTTACCGGTGGGTCCTCTATTTTTGTGCATGTAAAAGGTTAGACTATGGCGCTAGCAAAAAAAACAAAATGCAACAAAGTAGAGTCACTTAATATTCTTGTTGAAATTACGGATAGAATATGGTAGAAAGTAACAATCAGATATTGTAGAAGCCATGTAATTGTTTAATTGTTGAGGAAAAAGTATTTTTCATACGCTGACCATGTTTATGTCCGCTTGGTACGCGACCAGATCTTTTCCAAACCTTTGCCCGTAGGGTTCATGAGCCTACGACCAAATGTGTCGTCGAAGGGGCATTTTTGGCCAAATTCGGTCGAAACCGATGCTGCGTTCGTACCCTAGAGCCTACGAACAGTGACTCAAACTTAATTTTAATTGATATGCAAAGATCTGGCTAGAATGCTTGAGCTAGTGATTATATGCAATTTATCGGTGACGAGCTTTCCTCTAGCATATCTTGATTTATTCAAGCGAATCAATGAGAAACTAGTGAATAAAATTACCTGACAGCCATAGTACAAGTTGGTATATCTACACCTTCTCTTACATTTGGCGCCACTAAAATGTTAATCTCCTTGTTTCTAAAAACGATCAAGTACTTATCTGTTCTTCTTATTAATCGGAAGTGATTCTACGGTGCTATTAAAAGAGTTTCCGTTATATCCCACAACGAAATCCGGCTTTATATGTCTGAACTCTGGTACATGTTCACTCAAATCTTTCAGTACATGGTGCAATATTTTTGGCAGTTGATCTTTCCTTCGTGAATATTAAACCACAAATGTCTTCGTTTGAAGATGAACTGTTGAAAAGTGTTACGTTTATATTAGTATTAATATTTATGACATTTACTTTTTTAAAATAGTTAAATACTACGATAAACTGGGAATGTGGGATGAAGCAGAAATGTTTCTGTAACCCAATTTAGGTATGTATAGCAAGTCTTACGCAAGACAATAATAAAAACAGATAGAATTCGAGGGCGATTCTTGGAAGAAAAATTCATAGTATTTCTAAGGCAACACCGACCGGAGTGCTATAATTTTAGCATACATTTACAGGTTATAGGTCTAATGATAAATAGAAAGTGATTAAAATTTTAACTTCAATTTTCGTAAAATAGCTGAGATATGCCATCTTGCAGTAGCCTGAAATGAAATACCCGACAGGTTACCCATCACCTGATAGTCTGTGGTTCTCGCCGCTAGATGACGCTACATACAAACGTCATCTGTCAAACGTTATGTGTATCATTGATAAGTGTGAGTTGTGTCTCTAAGCGCTAGATGGTGTCGATGTCGCACTGGTGTCGTAGAGTGACCCACATACAGGGGTCGATAGAAATTTTTGGGGCCCTACCGACGGGTCGATGAACCGACGGTATAACGTCAGATCGAAATAAGCTCCATTCACATGGGAGGTGTGTGTGGAATTGCTCGTGGGAGACACGGACCTTGTCGTATATAGCAAGACGTGTCCTAAAATGGTGATACCCATTGGTCGCTCAGCCATACAGGTCGGTCAGACAGAAGTTTTTGGGACCGGGGTGCTCTGATTGGTGGATCAGACGGCGGGAAATTTGAACGGTGTTGATGGTATAGCTGAATGGTGGACGGCGGGGTCGGGTGCGTTGGTAATCACCTATGTCGCAAATGAGGTTAGATAGATAGTCGTTCAGTGAAGGTGTTGTCGTAGCGGTGATATGCAAGAAGTACTGCTCGCGGGGGTGTCAACGAGTTAATATTGGCCAACGATAACAGCGGTGACCCTGGAACACTGTTGTCACACGGTTGCAAAAGATGACAGGTTATCTCTTAATTTTCGTAAACAACGATTTTTCTAAAGTGGTAAAAACAGGTCGAAATTTTAAATACCTATGAATCACCGCAAATTATCTTGTCAGTTATCTGCTGCGAACAAAACATGCTCAGCTCAGACTTATCTAAAAAGTGGTGGGAAAATCGATATTATAAAAATATTTATGAATCACCGCAAATTCTCTTAGACGTGCTCTTATCAGTTCAGACTTAGTTAAAACTGGAGGGTAAAATCGAGATTATAAATACCTATGAATCACCGCAAATTACCTTGTCAGTTATCTGCAGTGAACAGACGTGCTCAGTTCAGACTTAGCAATTCCCAACGCTCCTCCGTGGCCATTCCCCTTACCCTCTCGCGAGTGCGGGCATGCGCATGCGGCTCGTTCTGGTCTATAGACATATGATCGCTAATGATCTTGAACAAAGATGTCCTGATACACGAACCGCCAGAGGTACATCAGAAGTAATGTTAGTATTGTGTGTGCGTGTTTTTTGAACACGCTAAGTCGTGATGTACATCACGTGACGTACGTCACGTGACCTACGTGACGTGCGTGTGACAGGTGACGTACGTGTGACAGGTGACGTGCGTCACGTGACACGTGACGCACGTGGCACGTGACGTGCGTCACGTGACACTTGACGCACGTGGCGTACGTCACGTGACACGTGACGTGCACACTTTGTTCAAAAATACCAAAAAGCTGTCTTGATAGCCCGAACCGCCAGAGGTACAACATCAGAAGTAATGTTAGTGCGTGGTTGAGGTTCAAAAACTTAGCGTGTTCAAAAAAAAAAAACGTACCTAGACCAAAACTCATTCTAGACCAGTCACTCTAGACCAAAGCACAAAAAAAACGCCGTTTTTCAACGCCTTTTTTGTCACCATTCCCCTTAGTAGCGCGCATGCACATGGGGCTCGTTCTGCTGGTGCTGGTGCTGGCGCGGGCGTAGATAGCGTTTGTGGTAAGGGTTGGGGGTAGGTCTTGTTCTCTTATCGCGCACGAGTAAGTTTGTTTGTTGTGTACCATAGGATAGTAGGTAAGAGAACAAGACCTACCCCCAACCCTTACCACAAACGCTATCTACGCCCGCGCCAGCACCAGCACCAGCAGAACGAGCCCCATGTGCATGCGCGCTACTAAGGGGAATGGTGACAAAAAAGGCGTTGAAAAACGGCGTTTTTTTTGTGCTTTGGTCTAGAGTGACTGGTCTAGAATGAGTTTTGGTCTAGGTACGTTTTTTTTTTTTGAACACGCTAAGTTTTTGAACCTCAACCACGCACTAACATTACTTCTGATGTTGTACCTCTGGCGGTTCGGGCTATCAAGACAGCTTTTTGGTATTTTTGAACAAAGTGTGCACGTCACGTGTCACGTGACGTACGCCACGTGCGTCAAGTGTCACGTGACGCACGTCACGTGCCACGTGCGTCACGTGTCACGTGACGCACGTCACCTGTCACACGTACGTCACCTGTCACACGCACGTCACGTAGGTCACGTGACGTACGTCACGTGATGTACATCACGACTTAGCGTGTTCAAAAAACACGCACACACAATACTAACATTACTTCTGATGTACCTCTGGCGGTTCGTGTATCAGGACATCTTTGTTCAAGATCATTAGCGATCATATGTCTATAGACCAGAACGAGCCGCATGCGCATGCCCGCACTCGCGAGAGGGTAAGGGGAATGGCCACGGAGGAGCGTTGGGAATTGCTAAGTCTGAACTGAGCACGTCTGTTCACTGCAGATAACTGACAAGGTAATTTGCGGTGATTCATAGGTATTTATAATCTCGATTTTACCCTCCAGTTTTAACTAAGTCTGAACTGATAAGAGCACGTCTAAGAGAATTTGCGGTGATTCATAAATATTTTTATAATATCGATTTTCCCACCACTTTTTAGATAAGTCTGAGCTGAGCATGTTTTGTTCGCAGCAGATAACTGACAAGATAATTTGCGGTGATTCATAGGTATTTAAAATTTCGACCTGTTTTTACCACTTTAGAAAAATCGTTGTTTACGAAAATTAAGAGATAACCTGTCATCTTTTGCAACCGTGTGACAACAGTGTTCCAGGGTCACCGCTGTTATCGTTGGCCAATATTAACTCGTTGACACCCCCGCGAGCAGTACTTCTTGCATATCACCGCTACGACAACACCTTCACTGAACGACTATCTATCTAACCTCATTTGCGACA